TATATATTAATTATTATTCATTTTTTTAAGTTAAGATAAACTGTTCTGTTGTTAAAAATTTTTTGCATAAACTTACAAATTTCTGGGCAGTATAGTGATAAAATTAAGTAAAATATTTACATAATTGAACATGTGAAAAGATTAAGACACAATAACACGCCGAATAAATACTAATTCAGAAGTCAAACAACAAAAATCAGCGTTAATTTACAAAATTTTCACAGGACTAGTTTCGATGGTTTTACCGAACCATCATCTTCAGCTGCATGATCATGCCTTCATCCGTTAATCGTTTCACTAAATTACGCCTGAAACGGCAAAAATTCCTGAATCATCTTGACTTTTTACTTAAATGTAAATGTAAAAAATTGATCCCCAATTTTATTCAAATCAAATCTAATCAAAAACCTTCGAGTCGCGTTTCAAGAATTCTGTTAAATTGCAAACTTGCCTTACTTCGGTCCGTGATAAGGGAAATACACGTCAACAATTGTCCAAATTGAACATGAACTCTATAAGCTTCATCTGGAACTCGCTAAAACATATCCAAAATTCACTGCCCTTGAACAAAAGTCTTGGTCTAGAACGGAGAATGCAGTTAACGTCATAAAAAACACCCTTGCAGTTAAATTCGAAAAACTTCTTTTACAGTCTTCCAGTTCAAGTAGTTCAGAAAATCTTCCCATTGTAAACATCAAGCCAATAGTTAATATTTCTAATGTTAGTCTTTCAGAAGAACAAGAGAGAATTCTAAAATATAATTTTAACTTCTCACAAACCTGTAAACCCTCGATTCCAAAGATTTTGGCTCCTATCGAAAGAGCTTTCAAGTTCAGTAAAGTTTCAGATTCACAGAAAGAAATGATTAGGCATCTTATCGCTCATAATGTGAAATTCAATAATAAACCTTTGAAACCAAATCTAACTGCGAGAGAAAGAGCTACAATGCGCGAGATTCATTCTAACCCGGATATTGTCATTTCAAAGGCCGACAAAGGTGGCCAGATAGTCGTCATGGATAAGAACACTTACATCGATGGTGTCACTAAACTCTTAAACGAAGGACCATATAATCCGATCCCTAAAGATCCTTTCACCTTCGGACTTATCCAAAATAAAAACTGCGATCAAATCTTCGCAAATCATTTCAAGCAACTTAAAACATTCGCTTATCCCATCTGTTGCGAATTGTGCCAGATTATATGCTCTTCCCAAAATTCATAAAAGTGGTATTCCTTTCCGCCCTATTGTATCAAATTTAGGTACTGACTGCCTCGTATCCATTAGCTAAATATTTAGTTTCTAGATTTTCCACTCTATTAGACAATAACATTTACACCATAAAAAATTCAATAGAGTTTGTGTAAAAAGGTTAAAAACATTTCTGCTCCTCGTAATTTACTCATGGTTTCTTTTGATGTAAAATCATTATTCACCAATGTCCCAGTGGAGGGTGCATTAAGATGTCTAGAAACCAGACTTCGCGAATTTCATTTCTCTTGCATCGAAATTGATGAGCTAATTTCTCTCACTCAACTCTGTTTGAAACAAACACATTTTGTTTTCCAAAATAAATATTACAAGCAAACTGAGGGATTAGCCATGGGAAGCCCCCTCAGTCCCATCCTGGCTGATATCTACATGCATTATTATGAATCAAAATTGTTTGAAACTTTAAACTTCCCGGCATGGTTCCGCTACGTAGACGATACTTTTACCCTGTTTGAAGGTAATAAAGATGATTTAAATAGAGTTCTTTCAACAATGAATTCTATTGATCCTGCTATTCAGTTCACTTTTGAACTTGAGACTTGCAATTCTCTTCCGTTTCTCGACATTCTGGTCACACGTAACACATCCAACTTCAGTACTACAGTTTACCGTAAACGTTCATCGGTTTGCCTTCCACCACACTTTAAATCATGTCATCCGACTAAACAAAAGTTAGCTTCATTTTATTCCTATGTTTTCCGTGCTCTTCAAGTTTGCTCCTCCAAACTAGCCCTTGATGAAGAACTAAATTATTTAAAAGCAATAGCTATTGACAGGGGCTTTTCACCCAACATTATTAATCAAGCAGTTAAAAAAATTCTCATCTCAACACACTAAAAGCCACACTCTTATTTTAGGAGATTATAAAAATTCTGTTGTCATTCCCTTCTTTCCATCAATTAGCTATAAAGTTGCACATATTTTGCAGAAATTTAACTTTCGGTTGTTTATTCTCCCATCAATAAAATTCCAACTTCTATACTCAAGGACCCCATTCCGGATATGAATTCCTGGGGTATTTATAGGATTCCTTGCCAGTGTGGTTTAATTTACATTGGCCAAACTAAGAGAGCCTTAAAATTTTCGCGTCAAAGAACATGAGGCATATGTTAGAAAAAAGGAAACACAGAAGTCTTCTGTTGCTCAACATTGTTGGTCCGAAAATCACACTTTCAATTTTTTCTGCTGCCAAATTATTCAAAAAACATCTTCCATTGGAGAACTGGATTTTCTAGAGGCATTTTCACATTCATAAAAATCTTTCTGTTCTAGTTAACGATCCTAATTCCAATCCAAATTTGCCTTCGGCTTTTAGAGAAATTATGTTTTAGTTCTGGTTTCGCCAACAGATGGCGCCACTTGCTTATTCTTGTCCAGGCTTTCTTATCTTATCTAAACATTATTTCCTACCTTGTTCATTTGCGGTTTTGCAGCTGAAGATGATGGTTCGGTAAAACCATCGAAACTAGTCCTGTGAAAATTTTGTAAATTAACGCTGATTTTTGTTGTTTGACTTCTGAATTAGTATGTGAAAAGATGTATCCAAAAACTTATATCGGTGTATTTCTGTAATTCAACTTAATTAAAGGCAGTTTCTTTGAGATTAATAAATATGAAATGCGCATAAACTGAAATCAATGAATCCACATAAATCTGTTTTATTTTATTAAGATTTATTTTCTAACCTAAGCAAATTCGTGAAATATGCAGAAACATCATTTTTTAAAGGCTCTAATGTTATGCGCATGCATTTAGATTTCGAACTATTTCTTAATAATTTGCTGTACATACTAAATTATGGATATCATCTTTATTACTTTAAAACAAAAATTCAACAATAGTGAGGGATTTCATTATAAATTTAACATATTTTTACTGGAAAATAAATGCACGGAACAGCTTAGAAACACGTACATGTCACTACCGTAATGCAATGTTTTGAAGTCACAAACATGGACGCCGCTTGTTCGGCGGAGTTTCATTCCCCGATAGTGGAGGAAACTGCGAACCCTCCCTCCTTCTATTCTAACCTCCTTGGTTTTTTAGCTCTGTGCAGCCATGAATGCTAAACGAAAGAAACTTTGCCTGGAATTCGAAAATTAGTTATTAATTTGCATATTGAACGTGGAAAATCTATTAGAGAAACTACTGAAACAGTTTAACTTCAGTCATTCAACAGTTTTCAATATCATTAAAAACGATATAAAAAGAATCATATGATTCAGGATAACAGAAGACCTCGGCCGACCATCAAAGCTATCCAATGGAATAAAGCGAATTATCGTTCGGAAATATTTAAAAAAAAACTCCAAGAATGAGTGCTCCTAAAGTTGCTGCTCTGATTTACAAGCATTATATGGAGTAATTGTTAATTCCTGAGACTATTATAAGAGTAATTCGATATGCTGGATATCACGGTAGAGCAGCCAGGAAAAAATTCTTCGTTGAGTGAAAAGAATAGACAACTCAGACTGGCTTTCGCAAAATCCAACATAAATAGGAATTCTGATTACTGGAATGAAGTTATATTTGCTGATGAGAGTAAATTTAATATATTTGGTTCTGACGGTAGAATCTTGGTGTGGATAAAACCCAGGGAAGAATTTCGCAAACAGAAACTTGGTGCCAACAGTAAAACATGGTGGAGGAGGAGTTATGGTATGGGGGTGTATGTCGTCGCTGGAGTTGGTAATTTTGTTTTTATTGACAGTATAATGGATCAGTACAAGTATATTGACATTTTAAATCAAAATTTGAAATCTTCAGCACGAAAATTGACCCTTCATAACGATTTTAAATTCTACCAGGACAATGACCCCAAGCACAGTGCTTCAAACGTTAGACTCTGGCTGCTGTATAACTGTCCTGAAATAATAAAAACACCCCCACAATCTCTACAATTAAATCCCATAGAGAATATTTGGCAAGAATTGGAATCAAGAATTCGCAAACACACCATTTCTTCAAAACAACAATTAAAATCGGTGCTTCAAGAAGAATGGGGTAAAATCACTCCAGAAATCACAAAAAATGAGTCGAAATCCATCCCAAGAAGATTAATTCACATTTTAAAAGTAAAAGGAAATACAACAAAATATTAAAACCTTTTAAAAGTAAAATTTTTTGATAAATATTTGATGGAAAAGTAAATGCCCCATCACTTACGTGAGTATCCAATCACTTAAGTGAGCCATTTTTTGCTCCGTTCTAAACAATTGTATTTTCTTTAAATTAACATTTTAATATTTTGAGAAAATGTATGGTTATGTAATAATTGTTACTAAATTTAAGTATGAAACACACCCACAAAAAATTTTACATGTTTTTAAAATTTATTTTATTGCAGTTTCCTTTTGTAAAGCACAAGTGTCCCATCACTTTTTTGAGACACTGTATTTGATTATAAAAAATTTTCATTGTCTAGTAATTAGTTAGAGTAAGTAAATAAATACCAAATAAAAGAAATTTCTTTAGTATCTGTCTGTTAATTGAAAGAATTGCCACTGTTATAGGATTTCTATATCTTTTTATAAATTTAAGGTAACGTTAATGTTTCTTACGATAACATTTCACTGCCAAAATGTCATTTTCTCATTTGTTTATGAATCTTGCGTATTAAGGAATTATTTTTATTTTATGTTTATTTACAGGATGACAGCCACAGCCCGAGACTCTGAGGTGAAGAGTACTGTTGAATCATGGGAAACTTTTGGCAGCTCAGCGAAAAATGGTGGTTCGGGCAACGAGAATTCAGGCGAGTGTTGTGAATGCCGTGTTTATGCATTTGAAGTTTGTGTTTAAAGGCCGCTAACACAAGTATGATCAGAAAAATGGCTTTGACGGTTTCAACCCAACATATACTTTTCGTTTTGCAAGACTTCTACTTCCAAATTATATGAAAAAATGCAACTATTATTTCCATGTGCAGTGATGGAAGACAGCATTGGAAGCTGAACCCATGGAATGATATTTCTATATCCTCATAAGCTGTTCCATCACCATTTATAAATGCAGATTACCTGTTGTGCATAAATATTGTATCATGTCAGTCTCTAGAGTAGGCTATGATTGTTTTGTATACTTAACAGATCTTTTTTAATAATCGTTTTTACTAGGTTGGGATTCAAAGTGATGACTTATGACTTGATATGTAATATACATAGCTGTATTTATTGCATTTCTTAAATCTTTTATTATAAAGTATCCATTCATTGTGCAAAATGTGGAATATGATGTGTGATGTGATGCCTACCATATCGGAGGACAGTGTTTCGCAAAGGAGTGGACAATTTTCGAGCGATGAGTCCAACTTTGAGCAGCTCATGGTTAATATGTTGGACGAGCGAGATAAGCTCATGGAAAATTTAAGAGAGACTCAAGAAGGAATGCAAGAAATTCAGTCAAAATTAGCAGAAGTTGAGAGAGAACGGGACAGTCTCCAAAGGCAGCTGCAAGCAAATCTACCTCAGGTAAGTTTAATAGTTATAACCAGGATATTGAACAATCAAGTCTGAGTTCTTCAATGAAAATTATCATAAAAATTTTGTGATAAACCCTTCGCGTTACTAATTTTATCTGTTAAAGTACGAGTAGTCACATTTTGGTAATAATATTTAAACAAGACCGTTTCGTATGTAAAGACAGATATGTCCCTTTAAATGATGGTAAAAACATGTTTATGTTTATAGTTAGGAATATAAATATTTGCTATAGTTTTATTTATTTATTTATTCTTTAGCTAGCTTTTCTAGTTCTCTAAAGCAACTTATACTTTTTTGAAGAAATACATGATGGCCATTTTTTGATTTAATAACGTCTATAATAATTTCCTCTTAAGTATTAAAGGAAAACTGTTGCAGTTTTCTAGTTTGCATTGGTAACATAAATATTGCAGACTTTTAAATTGCCATTACGCCTTTTTTTTCCACCTTTTTTTTTTTGAGAAGGTTGTAAATTTATTCATGTGAATTATTTCTATTAACCTGTGCAGATATCACAAAAGGAGGGCGTATGAATTTTTTCATAAGTTGTGAGTGGTTGCCTTTTCATGTGCAGTGATGTATATTCATTGCTGATGAGAGAAATTCGAGTTTTATTAAAAAATATAAAATTTTTATTATAGTTTTATTGAGGAGGATTTGTTTATAACGCTAGGAAGGACACACTGAGGGAAAAACAGGAATGTGGTAATATCAGTACAAAATTGGCATAGTATTAATGCAGAAAAAAGAAAATAAATAAAATGTGCAACAAATACTGGTAGCTCAACTGAAGTTTGAACCCAAGTGAATAGACTGGCTCCAGACTGGTTTTTATGGGTTTCTCCTAATCTGAACATTAGCTAGTTTTCCTTAAAGATATCCCTCTGTCATTTACCATGTGATAACCTAAGAAGTATAACATGTTTTGAATTATTGTTCTTGTTATTTTTTGCCTTTATTTGGTTTTTGCTAATTAGGTTTTAATTTTACATACATTTATTTATGAAGTTAGTAGCACATTTTGTCATTAGTAATTTGTAGTGATATTTTAATTATTTCTTTTTCCATATTTTGGTGAGGATTCGAGCTTTTAAGCAGTCATTTTACGCATTAGCTATATAAATGTTTCATATACAAGGTCTGCCAAATGACAAGTACTTAAGACTGTGGTACTCTGGTAGTTGGATCTGATTCGAATCATGACAGATCTTTGTAATTCCCCCTCGCCCAAACACATACTTATGCAGTTTAAATACAAACAGGTTTTCCCTAGAAAAATTTCTAATAAGCATTCCTTTCTTTAAGCCAGATAATACCTTTGTGCTCTGTCATAATCAACTAAACAAGTAAACTGTTCATGTATTATCAGAGTTGTAGTTCCAATATATTCCTTAGATGTTCAAATAAAATCTTCTGATAAAAATAAGATTTCATAATTTGGTTATAAAAAAATCTGAAGTATATGATATTACATTTTTTACTTGAGAAATCTTTTCAGGTTTATAACCAAGGCTTGAATTTTAATGATATAGGCATTTTTTTAGCCTTTTCCTCTTTTAAAGCATTTTTTAAAGCATCTTTTGAGCTTTTCAGTGCATTTTTTGGTCATTTCAGACTGCTTTGAGGCGTACTCTAATAGCCATTGAAAGAACACTGTTGCGATTCTCATGAACTCATTTTTACTGGGTAGGCATGTTCTGTCACAGAATGTAATATGTTAGACATATATTGCAATGAGATTTTCCCACAAGGTACGAGTGTCTCTTCTAAGAATTTTTCCATGTGAGTATTTCTTAGCTCTTTGAATTTTTGGGCACGTTAAGTTCCATGGGATTACATGCAGAAGGGAAAATACTACTCCACAGACATATTCTTGTAATTACACACTTACGTCTGTGTGTAATACATTTTTCTACCTGAAGAAAATATTCTTTATTTTCTTTTTTAATTCAGCTGATACTGTCCATCAGCAGTAAGTTGGCCTTGGATCTCTCGATTTTTAAAATGGGACTATCGAATTAGGAATGCCATGAATGCAAAAGACATGTAGAGATCGTATTTTTTGCCCGATGAAGCTTTTGCCTGAGAAGTTCAGCAGAAATGAGCAGTATATTTTTAAAAATTTAGGATCTTCTTTTGTATATATTTTGTCAAAGTCTTTTTGCATGGGGCTGGGGCAGAAAATGTCTCATCACGTATCAGGTTTAAAATAGAACTTTCTATTTTTAAAATGCACAATTTCTGACAAAGCTTTATGCATGTATGTTAATACATTTATCAGTGTTTGTCAGTTGTGTCATTTTTTAATATTTTTTTTGATTTTAGAGGGACTTCTTTTATTATTTTTAAGGGTTTTTTTCCATGTTAAGTGTATTCTCAGTGAATTTTAAGTTATCAAAATATGCATCCTGTTTATAGCAATTTCCAAAACATTGTAATACTGTTTTCCCTTCTAATTTAGAAATCAGGACTTGTTTGATAACTTTATCACATGGCAGGTGTTAACATTTATAATTTATTATTACAGTAGGATTTCATTCAGACTAGATTATGCAATTTTAAGATTTCTGTTTGATTACGAAATATGATGTGAATATATATTTCTTAAGAATTATACTCAGACTTGTCTGATGAATAATTATGTGGTGATTTCAGGGAATAATTTTAAATTAAAAATAAATTTAAAACATGTATTATGAATTGTAAGTAAAATTACCAAGAAGCAGTCTATCATCAATACTTAACCTTGAAATTAGCATTTTAGACGTAAACAGAATTTCAAAAACTGCATTGTTAATGCTCCAAAACTCTGTGCAGAATGTAACAAAAGGTTTAATGCTTCTGTTTCTCTCTATGTAATTGAATGAAAGATTAGATCTCTCTTTGGGTGTATACCAATACTCATTCTGTGAGAAGAAATTTTTTTTGTAAGAAAAACAAATTCAGGTTTTTATTCATAGAATCTTTTATAATTAAGTTTTTATCATACTGAGATAAGGTCATCATGGTGCAGGAGAATAAATTTAATACTTTTAATTTGTGTGGTTATGTTATTGTCTAGCAAACAAAGAATAAAGAGCTAATTTTGAACTGGGCATTGATAATGGAACTTGCCAACAGAGGTATATTTGTTTAGGATTATGTGTCTGCAGCAGGACTGAGAAAATTGGATCAGGTGAATGAAGAGTAAAGGGCAAACCCTGAACAACCTGGTACTAAGATTAGAATCACTGAATAGTGATAGTTTGACCTGAGTTCAAATCTTAATGAATGGGTGTACATGGATGTTTTCTTAGCTTTCTTCAGGTGTTATTGAAATGTTAGTTACATATTATCCTGTCAGTTAAAGATATTGGCTGCCATTGAAGGACAAAACTTTGGCGGAGTTCCACCCCAAAGTTTTGCCAATTCTTGTGAAATTTTGAGCTGCACTTCAGTTTATACCTCTTGCGATAAAACAGTTGTCAGTCTCTCTGCACAATTTCCTGAATAACAGTTGCTGTGCAAGTACTCGACCACTTTTTGTACTTCATGTAAAGGCTTTCGTCACTTTTTACTATTTTTTTTTGTCATCCGATTTACTGAAGCTTTGTTTAACATGCTCTAATTATAGATTTCAAGCACCAGTCTTTTACTGTTATGTCAGCCATTCTTTTCACTACCCAATCGATATTAATTCACTTGACCAGATGAACCAGAGTGCAATCACAAATGTGATTTTATATGGCTTACCGAGAATCAGATCGGGGTTATATCAGATAAAAGTGCAAATGTTATGAGCGTGTTGTGAAGTAACACTTATCTATAACTAGTGCTTCTTGGTAGTAACAACAGTTTTGTGGTCAATGGGATAATAACTAAGTACCATTAAAACAGTTAATTTTAATACTATAAAAAATTAATATGAGTCAATTTTCCCCCCTTTTTTGTGATTTCCCTTTTCACAGGCAGATAGCCTGTGCATGTTTTTCTATATGGTCCAATCTAACAGTGCAGTATGGGAGTGAAGATGTATTTGTTTGAGAGTTACAACTCTAATATACGCCCTAATTTCACCAAATGTGGCGATATGTGTTCTGCGCTGGGTTTTGGCACGATTACGTGTTCTACGGCAACCCTGTTGACGTTGAAATATCTTTTGCTGGAGCTCGTTGGTTCTCCTCTGTGTCTGAGAAGAGGGGAGGGAAAGATAAAATGGTAGTTGTTGAATTGAAGTTCGGCAAAAGGAAATATGATTGTGGCTATCCTGTTGAGGGGTAGTGGGTATTTGGAAGTGTGGAAAGAGGGTCTGGGAGATTATTTTTAATGGCAGTGCATGATAGAAGTAGGGATTTGTGATTTTATTTATTTGTGAACCATATTATAAATTTTCTGGATAGTGTCTGGCTGTCATGTAAATACGATAGTGATTCCGTGGCGGCATGTTAAAAGCGGTATGAAATTTATATTTCTGCTATTCGAAAACGCATTAATTCATGGTAAGTGCATTTTATTTGATCCTTGTTCTTATTTTGTCGAATATTATGTTCATTGGTTCTTTAGTATGAATTTCTGTCGTTATTGTTGTTTTTTTAAATTGTTTGAAATTTATTTTAGTTTATTTTGTTGTTTAGTGTCTAGACTGTACAATTCGTAGATGTTTTTTAAAGTTGAAACAGAACGCTGTGTACATGGTATTATTTGAAATTTATTGTTGTTATGTTATTTTATTAAAGCGAGGAGTGCGTAGATCGTAGATTCCTTCCTTGCCTAAATTGTGCAATTCGTAGAATTTTTTTAAAGTTTAAACAGGATGCTGTGTACATGGTATCTTTGAAATTTATTGTTGTTATGTTAACTTATTAAAGCGAGGGGGGTGTGCATAGTTCGTAGATTCGTTCGTTGCCTACATTGTGCAATTCGTAGATTTTTTTTTTAAGTTTAAACATGTCGCTGTGTACATGGATTCTTGTCAAATATTTTTGGTTAGAAACTTTACGTTTTTGCTA